AAGATAGGTTACATGAAGGGATGCAGAAAGGAATTCAAATAAGAAGAATGCAACGAAGCAAAGCTAGGCGAATTTACAGAGGAAAGGAATACATGGAAGGGATTAATCAGAAGATATAGGGGGGGGGGGGGGCAAGTGATTAAATACTTTTTGTCGTGTTTCTGAAGGGCTAGAAGAATCTACTCACCTCATTCTCATCTACTCACGCGCTCATTCTCATATACTCACCGTCATCTTTCTCTTAACTAACCTCGATCTCTCATCTACTCACCCCTCATCTCTCATGCTGATCACCTCATCTCTCATCTACTCACCTATCTCTAATCTACTCACCTCATGCTCTCATCTATCACCTCCATTCTCATCTACTCACCTCATACTCTATCTACTACGCTCATCTCTGCATCTACTCACTCAGGTCTCTATCTACTCAGCCCTAATCTCTCATCTACTTGGGAGCTCATTCTCATATAACTCACATCATGTCCATGCTACTCACCCGTATCTCTCATTTACTCACCCCTATTCTCATCTACTCACCTCATTTCATCTACTCACCCTCATCTCTCGTTTGTCCATCTACTCCCTCAATGCTTGCATCTACTCACTCTTCCACTATCACCCTCATCTTCATCTACTCACGCCTCATTCTGCATCTATCACCCTCATCTCTCATCTACTCACGCGTCATCTCTCATCTATACCCTCATCTCTCATTACTCACGCGCCTTCATCTTCATAGTACGTCACCTCATCTCATCTACTCCTCATCTCTCATCTACTGCATGCTCATCTCATCATATACTCACCCTCATCTCTCTTAACTCACCGCTCATTCTCTACTATCACCCTCCAATTTCATTACTCACCCTCATCTCTCATCTAGCTACTCATCTTCATCTACTCACTCATCTGCTCATTCTACTCACGATGCATCTCTCATCTACTGACGGCCTATCTCTCATTACTCACCCTATCTCTGATCTACGTCACCTTCATCTGACTCATTACTTACCTCATTCTCAGTCTACTTCACCCTCATCTCTCATCTAACTCACCTATCTCTATCTACTCACCTCCTCTCTCATCTATCCTATCTTCAGCTCTCCTCACCTCATCTCTCATCTAGGTCTCATTCTCATTACTCAGCCTCATCTATACATTTACTCACATCATTTCATTACTACCTCATCTGCTCATGTACTGCACGCTCATCTCTCTCTACTCACCGATCCCATCTCTCATCTACTCACTCATCTGCTATGGTAATCACCTCATTCTTGTCATCTACACTGCATTCTCATCTACTCAGGCCGCCTCATCTCCTATGGATACTCAACGTCAATCATCTCCATGCTAACTCACCTCTGATCTCATCTACTACGCTCATTCTCTCATCTACTCCCACCCTGCTTCTCATAACTACTCACCCTTTCATCTCTCATTACGTCATCATCTGCTCATCTCTGCACCTCATCTCTATGCTCTCACCTCATCTGTTCATTCTACTACTTATCTCTCATCTACTCACAGTCATCTCTCATCTACTGCACTCATCTCTCATTATCTCACCCTGCATCTCTCTTACTGCACCCTCATCCTCATCTACTCACCCTATACTCTCATCTACTCCCTGCATAACTGGCTCATCATACGTCACACGCTCATATACGTCTCTCTACTGGCACCGCTCATCTCTCATCTACTCACCATGCATCTCTCATGCCTACCACCCTCATCCTTCATCTACTCACGTCAATCTCTCATCTATCACGGGCTCATCATCTCATCTACTCACCCTACATCTGATCATCTACTCACCCCTCATCTCTCATTCTACTCACGCTCATCTCTCATCTAATCAACTCACTCTCATGCTACTACCCTCAGTCTCTCATGCTACTCAACCTCATTTTCTCATCTAATCACCCATCTTCATATAAACTGCACCTCATCTACTCATCTATCACCCTCAATCTGTCATCTACCCACCTGATCTCTTCATCTAACTCACCCTCTCATCTCATTACTTCACCTCATGCTCTCATTAACTCACGAGAGATGCAAGAACCGGACGCCGGCCTCATCTCTCCTATTTCACCCTCATCTCATCATTACTCACCCTCATCTCTCATCTACTCCCATGCTCTATGCTACTCACACTCATCTACTCATAACTACTCACCTTCATCTGCTCATCTAACTCACTCATTCTCATCTACTCACCTGGCTCTCTATCTACTCACAAATGCTCATCATATATCCTCATCTCTCATCTACTCAACAGCCTGCCATCTCTCATTATTCCGGCCTCATCTTCATCTACATCACCTCATCTCTCATTACTGCACCCTCATCTCTCCTCTAGCTCACCTCATCTCTATCTACTTACCCTCATCTTCATCTAGCTCACGCTCATGCTTCATCATACTCCCTCATCTCTGATCTACTACCCTCATCTCTCATGCTACTTGCACCGTGCATCTCTCATCTAGCTGCAACCCTGCATCTCTCATCTACTAGCCTCATCTCTCATCTATCACGCATCATCTCTCATTATCACCCTGCATGGCTCTCATTACTACCTGCATCTCTCTCTACTCACGCTCAGATGAGAGATGAGGGTGAGTAGATGAGAGATGAGGGTGAGTAGATGAGAGATGAGGGTGAGTAGATGAGAGATGAGGGTGAGTAGATGAGAGATGAGGGTGAGTAGATTTCTTCTAGCCTTCAGGAAACACGAAAAAGTATTTAATGCACTGCCCCCCTCCTTGATATCTTCGATTAATCCCTTCCCATGTATTCCTTCATCTGTAAATTCCCTACTTTGCTTCTTGCATTCCTCTATTAAATTCCTTTCTGCATTCCTTCTCATGTCCTCCTCCACCTTGATAGTATCCTTTCCCACATCCCTTCCCTAGACTTCTCCTACCCCATCCGCATTCATTTTTCTTTCGGCACTTATATCCACACATCTGCATATCTTTTCTTTCTGCATTCCTCTGCTGAAGGGCTTTGAATCTCTCCGTACATTCTTTTCTTTGCGTTCGTGTGCGGAGGGCTTGCACATTCCTTCCCCTAGTCCCTCCCTACCCCGTCCTCATCTCTTCCTGCATAGCCGCCGCTCCTCACAAGCCGCTCGCTCTCCGCAGTCCCTTGTCTACTCACCTATTCCTCTTTCCCTAATCTTTTCCTACCCCATCCGTGACGTCACAGCCAAAACCCTATGGTATCCCATCTTTTATCTCTCTTTCTCTCACTGTATATATCTATCTATCTATAAAAATATATAAATTCGGTGGTGGCATCAACGATCATGGATAGGTTAAGCGCTATCCAGTTAGTATATAGAGATCAGTGCTCACAACCCCTCTAATCCCTCTCTGTCCCATCCGCATCCCTTCCTACATCCCCTCCTCATAACTCCCTCCCGCTCTCCTCGCCGCAGACTCCGCACGGCGGATCGTCGATGGTCAGACGTCGGAGTCGACGATGCACATGGCCGACATCAGCCGGCAGCTGCTGGCGCTGGCGAGGCAGAAGCCCAAGATGCTGTCGTGGGTGCGTGCGTACAGCCACGACCCGTGGAAGCTGCTGAGCCTCGCACAGAACGACGACCACACCGTCAGGCTGCTGGGAGTGAAGGCACTCGCGAGCCATCACGGCTGGAGCGGTAAATATTTCGGTGGCGTGCGGTGTTGCGATCGGACACTCAGGACGCGGGCCGCGCCATCCCGGGGCGGGTAGCGCAGGACACGGGCCGCGCCATCCCGGGGCGGGTAGCGCAGGACGCGGGCCGCGCCATCCCGGGGCGGGTAGCGCAGGCAATTCGCACTCGCGCGTTTTTAGTCGCTAGGTCAGAGGTCATGCGCATGCCTGTCCGTGCGCCGTGGTCGAATACAAGGCACTCGCGAGTCATCCTGGGCTGGAGAGGTCATTAATCACGCACGCGGTCGTGGTTCCGCGCCCCGGTGTTTCGATCGGACGTGCGCGACACGCGGTGCACTCTCGTGGCACGTGTATTTTTCACGTATATTCATCCTCGGTGATTGTTTCGCGCAGTGTTTCGATCGGATGCGAGCCGTGCCATCCCGGGCCGGGTAGTGCCGGCGACTCGCGCGTGCGTGTTTAGCCGCGAGGTCGGAAGGCGGGCGAGCGGGATTAGAGCCATGGTCGAATACGTGGGCTTCATTTCTGGGGTTGAAATCTTGCGCAGGCATCGTTGTTCATTGACGTTAACGAACGGTGAACGCGAACGACATTGCTGGCGTCGTTGTCGTTGTGCGTGACTTCCTGGTTCAGAGCTGCAATGCTGTGAGCACTCTATTCCAGTCTGTTAGTAGTCGGACGGAAACTCGTCCGTGTAAATCTGGCTTACCGCCAAGGATTAAATGGTGCCAAGCATTGAATTAGCCTGAAGTTCAAAACTAATATGAACAATAACGCATGTGCTTATTTTGAAAAGTCATGCTGTTGCACGTATGCCAAATTTTCTTTGGACATTTGTTGGGAAAATACGGTAATCCTGCGATGCCATGCTCTGGAACAAACTAGTTAGTATGGCAGAATTTTTAGGGAGTCACACTGACGAGTATTGGTCATGATGACTAGATGCATGCAGTATGTGTAATAATAATATATGATCATTGGTTGGTCTGTCCGTGCATAGAACTGCTATCAACGCTCGTCAGTGTGACTCCCTAAAAATTCTGCCATACCAACTAGTTCGTTCCAGAGCACGGCATCGCAGGATTACCGTAGTTTTTAAAGAAATGTCCAAAGAAAATTTGGCAGACGTGCAACAGCATGACTCTTCAAAATAAGCACATGCGTTATTGTTCATATTAGTTTTGAACTTTAGGCTGCGGACTCCCTCTTTTTGAGGGCAGGGAGTCCCCGTCCGTTGGACTCCCTTGTTCGCAAGTTAATTTCTACCCCTGTTAACGTATAGCATGCATGTTTGATGTTGTTCCTGCCTGACAATTAACAGACTGGCAGTACGTGCAGTTGGCACAGGCCTGCGACATGAGGACACAGATTGGTCTGGCGCGAAGCGAGAATGCCGATCTAAGGTTGTTCCTTCGACCTCCTAAGCTTTCAGGTGAAAAGGTGAGCTATTTACAGATCTGGATCCAGGATTTTTTTTGTGGGGAAGACTTTAGACCCATTCAAAATTCATTAAAAAAAAAGAAAAAATCCTGGATGTTTTTTCCCCCCCAAATTTCTGGAAATTTCTTCAAACTCTATATTGGGTGTACTAGCAAGATGGGGGGACTATTGCGCTGTGGCAGAGGTTTGCTATCTCTGATTGCTCTTGTTGCTCGTGCTTTCAGGACAGCATAGCGGATAAGCTCTACACGGTGCTAACGTTACTGCCATCAGCTGACACCGACCCTTGTGTGCAGTTCTTCACAGAGTTTGCGTCGCGCGCGGTCAAGAAAGCGACGTCCGAGGACCAGGTATTGCACCGAGCCGTGCGTGAGGTATCCTTGTGTGACCTTTACTCCGTTCCCCTGAGTCGTGGCGTGCACGTTGGTGTGTGCTCGCGGGACACCGTGCGGTCACGGCGCCCAGTAGCCTCCGTTAGTCTGATTCGCCTTATCCCTGATACACCTGACGATGTTTTCCTCATTCATACGACCCTTGCTGTGAATCGATTCTTGATGTGAATCGAGAAAAAAGAACGTTTATACGTCAGAATGTGTTGTGTAAAAAAATCTGCAAAATCCGTCTTCTATTCCTTTCGATGTTTATAATCTCGTCTCTATTGTGCAAATGTTTTTTAATTAGGAAGGCTTTAATAATTAATTAATCAAACAATTCTGTGGTAATTCATGTAAATGGGCTCGTGTTGCCGCTCATGATTGCAAAAATGTCGCTCTTTGTTCACTGCATATAGTTCTACCTCGACTATAAGGCTTGACACAATGTCCCGTACTCAACCTGGGATAATTTGCATTCATTCTCAGGCAAAGCTGAGCTTGGGGAGCCAGGAACCGTCGTTTGCCGACGCGCTCAGTAAGGGGGCTGACGATTCAGTAGAGCTGATATGCCTGCAAGCCCTAGCAACTCATTCGACGGTGAGTCCACCGCAATCACGCGTGAGATTGTGCGCCTTGTCGACACGACCGCTTCTCCGTTCTCACGTTAAGTAGCATTTAGATTTAGATGTAAAAATCACACGAACCCATCCGATAGTGACACTTTGATACTGGACGAGTTGGTTTCGCAAGGTGGGGGTGCCGGTACACAAACGCAGTGTGATTGTACCAGGAGTGTATAATATATATATAAACAACGCTTATTTCGAGCACTGACTGTGATATATGAATGATACATCATGTTGTTGCAATACATATTAGCTAGTCACCAGGGAAACTGAATTCACATGGTATAGAAATAAATTACTCTAACATACCTTGTAAGTGTAGAGATACTGCGTGCGATACACGAGAATGCCCAAATTCACCTTGAGCAGTGGATTTCCGTGTACTCGCGCTGCCAGTCTTTGCTGAAATGTCTGTGGAAATTTTATTACCATTAGATTAGTCATCACACTGTCACAGATCAGAGGAAGAAGGAAAGAATTCAAGGAATGAAAACCTGAGGCTGAGCATCATTAATTCTAAAATGCACTAACACATAGTAGGGCCTACGTAGTTACGTACGTAACCGTGGGCTACGCAGTAAACTATCCAGATATAGATCCTACCAAATATTCCTGCAAGTGACGTTGACGGAGGCAGAGTCAAACAGATGCAATGCACACTAAAATCACACTGACGTCACCGTAAACACAACAGCTCGCCTGGGGCAAAATGCTAACTTATGTCATAATTTTACACAAACACGCGTAGCGTCATTAATCCGATTAGCTCATATAAAACATGATCGCGTTACGTACATTCTACACAACATACATTACTACAATGTACGCAGTAAATATGCTAAAATTACTTTTTCATTGACTAATGATGTTTCACTTACAAAGTAGAACTACTGCGTTCAATGGGTTCGTCGCTGATTTGTAGTTCCTAGAAACACCACTAGGCGACTCTCTAAAGCACTATCCATTCATAAACTCCGTAACGTTTTGTAACTGTGTGCTTGATTGGTTGATCTTGTGTTTATAAACAGTCATGGAAGGTATGATTATTTATGAAATACACATGTTGCGCAAAATAATTTCGAAACCTATTAGTACTACTTAATCCCTACATTTATGTTCCCACATTTATGTTTCCACATTTATGTGCCTACATTTATATGCCGCTGGCAGCAGCTGGCCAGCGGCAGTTAATGTAAGCGGGCTATAGTACTAGAGCTAGGGTACAGCCAGGTAGTTGGCCTTTTAGCCGAATGACTAATTTTTAATTAGTAATTTTATTATACGAACATCCACGTCGAATTTTATTAGCGACCAACTTGAGAAGTTGAGACTGAGTGTCATTTTTCTAATCTGCATGAGGGTGTCGTTGAAGAAAGTGCAGATGGTACGTGTTGAAAGCAATGATCACGCTCTGGTGATCTAGTGCTACGAATACGAAGAGGGAAATTAATGACAATTTTAACCTGACCAGTGTCAGTGACCATGATAACGTCCCACCCCACGCCATCCCGTCACGCCGTCCCACCCCGCGCCATCCCGTCACGCCGTCCCACCCTGCTCCGTCCCACCCCGCGCCATCCCGTCACGCCGTCCCACCCCGCGCCATCCCGTCACGCCGTCCCACGCTGCTCCGTCCCACCCCACGCCATCCCGTCACGCCATCCCATGCCGCGCCGCGCAAGTAGAGAGAGATGTAGAGTGAGACTAGTTATCCCGCTACTTCCTTTCCGGTTTCGTTGTTGTTTTTTAAGTTGAAACGTGCTCCGTAATGCCATGGCCTCCAGCATTCTGGTTGGAATGTATCATATGTTGTTGCATTGTCACCGGCATTGATTATATTGATCGTGAGCTTTTTACTCTTTAGAGTTTGACAGCGACATTAGCTGTTTAATACATTTTTTTCTGTATTTTTTCGTCACGTAGGATTGGTTGCCACAGGACTTTCCTAATGTTCGGGTGCTGATGGTGGGATATGATACATACCTCAGTGCTTGGGGAGAGAAGTGTCCACATGGGACAGCAAAGTACGTTGAATTATTACCAGTAAATGTTACTGCGTAGTAAATTATCATGACTAATGTAAATAATGTACTATAACAACGGTTTAAACATGAATATATACGAAATGGTTGTACAAGGAGTATATTGGGAATAATATAAGCTATTAATGGGTTTAGATGTTTTTCTCACAGTAGATGTGTCTTTCAGCTACTCATCTTTCACATATAATTATGACTGGTAGGTACACTTTACTTTGCATGCGTGTCTTCCTAGACGGTCGTTGGACCAGAGAGCCACTAAGATGTTGCAGAAGCTGAAGGCTGCGGGCGTTGGCGAGCGACCAATCATATTCGTCACACACTCGATGGGAGGTAGTAAGGTTATTCTGTTGTGTTGCTAGGCCACTGTTAGTATCAGCTTTACCCGTCCAAGACATCCCCCTTCCCCCCACACTGTAACTCTCCAACCTTACTCTGAATGACAACCATGCATCTGTCACAACCCTACGTCTATGAAGTGTTGCTCTGCGTTTGTGAAATGTAATTCACGTAGAAGTCTAATACTTAAATCTGCACTCTTCAACACTGACTAATGATTTCCTTTGTCCAGAGATGGTGTGAGTAAACCTCGGTATGTCATGCTGGGTGTGTGGTTACCTTGGTAATCCACGAGTGTGCTATGTACATGAGTCGTAAAAATGCAAGTAGACGAGCCTGTAAGTTCAGCAAAACCCTTCGAGAGGGGTGCATCACCGAAATATTTTCGATGCGAACCGAAAAGTTGGTGAGAAAGCAGCCGGTGAAACTCGCGTTATGACATAGAAATCTCATATAGACCGCGATCGACTCTAACCTGCGTTCGTCCGCGATCCGTCGTCTAGCATGGTTCGCACAGTCCTTGAAAAGTCCTTGAATTTGAGGGGAGTCCTTGAAAAGTCCTTGAATTTGAAGGGAGTCCTTGAAAAATACTTGAATTTTGTAAATGTTGATTTTGTGCTTGAAAAGTGCTTGAATTTCATGAAAATGTCTGATAAAATATCCTTGAATTTCCGATAAAATGTCCTTGAAAAGTCCTTGGAAACAATTTCAGTCCTGTATGAACCATGTCTAGGTTTGCTGGTGAAGCAGATGCTTTTCCACGCGATGAGAGACCCAAACATGGAGGGCCTCTTCACGAACACACGCAGTGTGGTGTTCTACAGCACTCCCCATCGCGGCTCCTCCCTCGCCTCCAAGACGGAGCAAGCTAAGTACCTCCTCTATCCCTCCGTAGAGGTGAAGGAACTAGTCAGCGGTGAGTAGTCGAATAGACGTGCAATCAGTAAAAGTCTCTATTTATTATATCGACCTGTTATATTATAAGTCTATCCAATTATATTAAGATGTACAACACTGCGATATACGAGGGGTAGGTTCGACTGGACCTGACTTGACTAGATGTGAGAGAAGCACGGCTTGTACGTTTCGTGAGAAAGTATTTTTGAGGTTCCTGGCGAGAGAGGATGTATTGAAGCTGTGCTCTTCCGGTTTCGTCCGCTCAGTCTTTAAATTCCGCCGGATTGCGATTCGCAGATTCGCCAAAACTGCTGAAACTTCACGACGAGTTTATAAACATCGCGAAAATCCATAACATCTCTGTGCTGAGCATTGGAGAGATGAGCAAAACCCCTATAGGTCCGAGAGGAGCCATCGAAACACACATCGTGCCACCCACGTCGGCCGGTAAGCTGCATCTTATCTTTAGATATCGCTATCGCGCGCATAGAAGTGTTTTTATATACAAGTTTTGCATGTTTGTTTCTGTGAAATGCATTTAGACAATTTGCAGGACTAATCACACATGGGACGGCGCACTCCAACTGCACTTAATCTTATTCCAGCTCTGCACTCTCAGAAGTGTAAAATTAAAGTAAATATACCAGTTGTAAAGATGCTTGCTATACTTTGTTAATAGATGTTTCCTAGACAGAATCTGTCTGACAATACCATGGCCCTTTGATCTAGTTCGATCAAATTTCCGCCATTTGAAATGAGACCTACAGCAGGCAGTGCTGTTAGATTTGTTCATCTTTATCATTCGTAAACAACCAGAAACGTAGGTGGCACCACGTGTCAGGTAATAAGTGCCAACACAGAACCACAGTACATTTAACATAATATATATTACTATTACATAATAACCGAAGAAGACGGCGCGTGAAAAATTTGTGTCGCGTTGCTGCGGTAACGTTCTGACTCATCGCGTTGCCGCGGTAACGTTCCGATTCGCGACGTCTGCTCTCGCGCAGATCCTGGGATCGGTGACTTCCACCTGGTGACGGACAACCACCTGTACGTGTGCAAGCCTCGCGCGCCGTCGAGTCCCGCCTATCGCCTCCTGGTGGAGCATCTCAGCCGGATCGTTCCCCGCGACCTTGAGCTGCACATCGCGCAGGCCAGCTCAGAGGATCACCTCTTCCTCGACATGTTCCACATGAGCTGATGAGGATGAAGGGGCCGGGAGCAAATTCACGGCCGTCCTTTAATATGCCGCTGTCGCTCCCATCGAGTGACGGCGTTCGTCGTTTACGCAGCCGCGGCCGCCGTTAAGGTCAAGACACACTGCAGCGACAACGACCGACCGAAACGACAAACGACTTTTCAGAAAATTAGAAACTATTGTTTCCTATGAGCCATTGCGCACTGACGCGACGACGACCGGCAACAACCTCGACGACAAAAATAAATAGAAACGTTTCTATTCTCCAGCGACTTTCGCCGGGGACACTTTGTCGTTACGGTCGGTCGTTGTCGCTGCAGTGTTGCTGCGCCAGTCGCCGCGACTTTGTCGTTTGTCGTTACGGTCGGTCGCTGTCGCTGCAGTGTGTCTTGGCCTTTACTCTGAGGTTTCTCTGATCAAGCGACGGAGGGAGTTTGTCGTTTACGCCGGCGGCGTGACGAGAAGATGCGCGGTGCGAGATTCTGTATTTAGAGTTTCTGGGTTTCCCGTTGCGGTGAGACGAGCGTCGTGCCGTCAATGGTGACGGGGCGCTATCCTGAGACTCTTTCCTGTGATGCCACGTGTGATGATTAGGTTTTAATCAAGTGGATCCGAATATATCTGTACAGTGCAATGTGGTTGAAGACCGAGATATTCGTAACAAGGAAACGGACGCCTGTCCTGATTTTACTCAGGGTGAGTGGCAGCGTGTTAAAATATATACCGGGTACTCTGATTGGTGAAGGCTACAGTTGAATACTAAGTGTAGTGACTTGGTATTACCTTGGGTTTTATAATATAGTCAACGCTTTATATAATTTTTTAAAGACAGTTCAATGTATGTAATATTTTATTTAAGTAATTTATTTTCATAATTTCATGCGTAGTCATGCGTATGTGTGTAAAATCAGACCAGTATTGCTGAACCTCATTGTCACAGCCAACTTATCTTAAAATGATGACATTATAATGTTAATGTGACTCATACCTGCTGATGTGGATTTCTATTGCTAATATTTTTTCGTTGTTTCTCTAGTAGTACAACACAAAGCCTGTGTGGAATGGAACCACCTTATATTTCCTTGTTAACAAGTAAGGAAAATAAGATGGCTGCCCCCAGAGGTAGCACTACTACAGGCTTCTCTACACTAAGCATTTGGTTGTGTGTACTGTAACACTACCACAAAATATACAAACATTACAAGTTGGATTTTACACAATTTATAGAAAAATAATCTGGCAGTAGTGCTGATGGTGGTTGCAGTAACTAAGATGCTTCTACTGGTTTGCATCGCACGATCTTACGTCAAATACAATGAAGCTAATAGGTGGTTATATAGTGTCTAACTATCAATTAGTAAATATTACTAAATACTAGATGCACACCAAACTAGTATTTTACATGGATACAGCAGAGATGCCAACCACTACGATTTATCCGTATTTTATACGAATTTCTATTCCTTTTGCACCATTACGACCAGTTTGTATCAAACTACGAATTTCACTGTGATCAAAAAAAAATTTTATTATTGTCATTTTTGACCCTCAGAATGCAGAAAATTGCATCTCAGAATCAAGAAATTTTCCGGGGGCATGTCGGACCCCCCTAGCCAACTCAGGTCACTACGTGACCCTCGAACTACTAATTTGATGGCCAGAAACTACAGATTGCTTCAAATATGTGTTGGCATCTCTGATACAGATCTACAAGAAAAAATCAAATAGATAACCATAGACTAAATTGTCAAAATCTCCTAGTGTCAACTAATTGTTACTAGTGTCAACTAATTGCTACTAGTGTCAACTAATTGTTAACTAGTGCCTTATTATCAGTGGATGACCCACTACTTACACTATTACAGTTTGAACAGGCCAAACAATTAGTGGTTGGTGTTACACTAATTATATTTGAGATACATGACATCGTTTGTTGAGGTATATAGGAGGTTACATGATGTACGTGTGAAGAAATTTCACACTGTAACGACAGTATGTTGCAAGCCTCAATGGACTAGCCTTGATATACACAGACTACACCCCTGCTTGCTGATCAAGGGTGGGTAGGTCGACGGGCTCAGAAGAACTTCTTTGGTGGACAAGATAATTGTTGGTCCCCTCCTGTGGGGTGGAATATTCACTCATCTGAGCTTCGAATATAACATTTTGAATGTTGTTCATAGCCAGTACACGTGTTCTTTCGCTCAGCTTTCTTAAAGCTTGGGACACATACATTCCAAATGCTGAACAGACATCTTTACTTGTGTCTTCTTGGGCTATTTTTTTCATGTTTTCTGACGAAAGACATTTAGCAACATGTTTAAGCATGTTGCGTTCTATCTCGTCTTTTTTCTTTTTCACTGCTTTGACTTTTTCTTCCTTCAAGGGTCTTTTAGTAGATTTGCGCGCAGTGTTCAGACGTGATTGTTCATTAACCGAGTCATTGAGTGACGATTCTTCAATCTCTGAATTTTCTCCTGAACTTTCATTCTTATCACTCATTCCAGTACTGTCTATGCACTAGAAAATAAAATAATAGAATGCTCGTAAACATTCAGTAGTTTTCATTCCCAAGTACTCACCTCATCAAATGTGTAAACACAAGCACATCGCTACAGCAGTATCACAATAGCAGGCACAATAGTAATGCAAGCGATGGTACAAACAAGTATTTTTTTGTAAATCTATTTATAACTTTTAATGTATCCTACCTGTAAATTGGATGTTGACCTCGTGAAAACTGTCTGCCTGGAACTTCCAATGCAATCTTCGAGAAAGTGTAGCATCTCCAGAAGCCAAATCATCTTCCTGGTCGGTGCTTTCTTCGGGTTACTAGCAGTAAGCCGCCTTGCTTTTGTGTATTGAGTCCTTAACGACGTGAGACGCTTTTGCACTTGTAGAACTGGAAGTGTTAATTGCATTTAAATCTCACTGACACCTTGCATAGGATCAGGGGGTAGATGAACCTTAGGGGTGAATACAGTCTCCTACACCAATATATGGAAAGAAATCATGAGGAAACATAGGTATATATGTGGAATCCCCCCCCCCCTTCACACACGCACGCACGCACTTGGACGCACGTGGCTGGCGACTTCTTTGTGTGGCTCTTTACACCCTCCACATTGATACAGATTAGTGGGCAATGAAGCTACAAGTCTACACTAAGTGACCCTTTTTATGTGGATAGAAACATCTCTGTGCTGTTTTAAGTACTCCTGTAGGTGACTCATTAGGGGTAGACAGGATCCTCCTCTAGAATTTTATACCAAGTATTTTAAAGCCTGTATTGCGAGAATTTTCCCCCACTTTCATGATACCTACCGTTATTGCTTGAGTAACAGCAATTGTCTAATAAAAAAATGCGAGTATATCTCACGCATGAATATCTCTTTCATGATAAATGCTGAAGGATATCCACGCACGCAAAAAAAATCTGTACCAATATCTGAAAACAGTCACTTTAGTTGCACCAAATTGCACAAAATTGAGTTATAAAATGCAAAAGCCTTCCCTACCGTGCGAGAGGGAACCCCCCTGCCCACACCCCACCCCCACTCGGTCGCTTCGCTCCTCGCCATCTCACTC